TATTATAATAATATTGTATCGATATAATTATATTTATTATATTGATAATAATATAAAAATTAATATAATTAAATATTAATATAATTTTATAATTCTAATATTATTATCTATAGTGTATTATACACGTTATGACTAACTATATAATGTATTCAATATAGTATATTTATTTAATATAATATAATATTAATTATATATTATATTGTAATTATATATATTATAATATAATATAATATAATATAGTCGTAATTTTTAACTATCTACAACAATTCAACCTCATAATTTATCAAACGCTATTACACTGATTTTGGAACCAACACAGCTACTATAATTATAGTTTACCAAACACTCAGCTGCTTTTTGTAACAGTTGCTTCTTCCTTCAGCACAAGTAAAAGTAATTTTTTCAAAATCTACAGCACTACCAAACTAAGCCAAAGTCCAGACCACATAGTCCTAAAGTGACACCCCGAATGAAAATATTGTACCTATCTAACCTGGCCCTAAAGGAAATAGAGTGAGCCTAATTTGACTCTAAAGCCTGAAAGGCTTGAGGCTGTGATTTTATAAGATATATTTTTTAAAAAAAATTTAAAAAAAGGTATTTGGGTTAGGCCAGGCGGGCCTGAATAAGCTTTCATTCTTGAAATCTCGACTCGACCACGGCCAATAGTAGGGGTCTCAAGACGGCCCATTTAGCCTAACTGAAACTTACAGCTCTATTATATATACATATACATTTATTGTTTTTGGGAAATAAGCCTTAGAACCTTACTTTTAGAACAACGATGTAAGGCACGCCATTAATACAACAATAACAAATATAAGCCTTAATCTCAAATTAATTAGGGTTGGCTATATGGATTTCTCGTTTCCAATCTACTCTATTAAACACGAGACCCTCATGAAGCCCTAGATCTTGAAAATCGTGCCTAACTACGTCAGCCCAAGTAATTCTTGGTCTACCTCTCAGTCTCCTAGTACTAGATATTTGGATTTTCTCCCAAGCACGAACATGTGCATCTAACGATCTACATTGTACATGCATATACCACCTCAGACGGTTTTTCCACACCTTATCTTCTATTTGAGCTACACCTACTTTACTATGAATAACTTCATTCTGTATACGATCCATCCTCGTATGGCCACTCATCCATCTGAACATACGCATCTCCGCCACACTCATCTTGTAGATTTGTTGTCTCTTGATGGCCCAACATTCACTATTAAGGCACGCCATTAATATATATATATATAGTAAGTTTGTGACTTATAAGTAGGATTCACATTTTATTAGCGATGTATTTAGTATTAGTGGTGCCTCTAAGTATTTTTTAAGAGATAATTAATTTTTTTTTTTTGTTTTTATCATAAGTGGATAATCAATGACGTTACTGCATACAATGAAATGACGTATTAAGAACAAAAAGGGCCAAAAAAAAAAAGAAAAAGAGAGGGAGAAGAAAAGGTTTTCCTTGGAGTTGGAGTACTTTTTTTGTTGTTTTTTTTTTCCTTCATTACTTAAGTCTCGTTCATTTCATCAATTTTAGTTTTTAATTTTAAGTTTTTATAGTTTAAAGCTCTCAGAAAGGGTCACATATAACTTTTTTACTATAATGAAAAACTTTTAAAAAATATCACATCTCAACTTGAATTGAAAACTCAAATCCGCGAAAACGCGGCCTTAATACTTTTATGATCTTCTATTTCACGTGGTAGGGAAACAACATTAGCTAATTATATACATGCATGCATCATGCATATGTGTGCTTGTGTAAAGAAAAGGCTGCTATAGTTTTTTGTTTCTTTTTTTTTTAAGAAATAAAGAAAACAAAACTTTTGTCAATTTGTTCAATGCATGATTATGAAACGTATTTATTTTTTGAGGATATCAATTAATTTTTTAGTTAACATGCTCACTTAATTGTGAATGTAATTCAAGATAAATTGAATAATTTATAAATACAGTCTATTTTCTGAATTGCAAGTTATACAAACGAATAAAAAGTAGATAAAACAATTTTGGATCGTGATGTACATTTTATCCATTAGTTTAATTAGTACAACATTTTGACATAAGTAATATTCACTTTGCTGCTCACACACACACACACGTAAGTGTGTGTGTGTGTGTGTATTGCAAATATGTGTCAAGTTAAGTTTAGAAAATGTCGCAAGTTTTGTGACTAATATCAACAACAACAAAAAAAGGTTTTGTGCAACGGTCATGACAATATGGACGTGTCAATATCATATTGTCGGCAATAATTACAGTATAACACTATAAATGCTTGTAAATAACGTAAAGAACAAAGTAGAAAGGACACCTTTGTGTGTGATTGCAGGCTGTGGGTCTCAAGTAAAAGACACCTTTTTTTTTTCTTTTTCAGGAACTGACACTTTGATTCTGAAAATCTTTGCATTCTGGTTCCATATATAAACACAATATTCAGTGTGAACAAACTAGAAGTAGGTAAACTAAAAGATGATAGATACGAATTATTCACCATTTGAGAAGAGAGAGGGTACGCAGTACTACTGTCCACTATTTTCATGTTTTTGTTTTCTAATAAGTTGTATTACTTCGTATATGTTTCGCGTGACTCTTGTATTTTGACTTTCTTTTTATTAAGATTTGTATTACATTATATCATGCTAATTATTTATCACTGTAGTGTATTCAGTATTGAACTTTTAAAAGATAAAATTTAAACATCATCGCACGACACTAGCTTTAACCTCGACTTCACCTTAGGATTGAGAAAGGGTTCGAGATCAGGGCTGTGGATCGAGACGGGGATTGTATTCGAGTCTGGATTGTAAGACTAGGTTTGGGAATGGGGATGGGGTATGCGACTGGAACCGTGTTCCACAATTAGAGTCGGGATCTAGGACCATAATTGGAATTAGGGGTGATAATTCGTGTTAATGGATCATGTTCGTGTCAAATTTGTTTATTAAACATGTCAAAAATGTCAACCCAAACACGACTTATTTATTAATTGTGTTAATCGTGTCAACTCGCTTAACCCAATTAAAATAATATATTGAATAAATAATTTATATAATTAGAGTTTATTTAACACGATTATGGCACGTTAACAGTTTTATTGGTCTATTTATCCTTTTTTTTATTTTAAGAAAACAAGTAAAATCTATTTAAAAATTCATGTTAATTGTATTTAATACACATATAAACTCTTATATTATGTCATATATAATTAATTTACAAATAACACATATTTAATCATGTTGATTTGGGTCACTTCGTATTAGAAGGTCAACCCTAATCCAACCCATTTATTAATTGTCTTCATCATGTCAATTCGATTATGACCAAAACCTATTTATAGTAAATTTAAACCCACTAACTTTTTGCTAGTTTCGAGTCATGTTGTAGTGTCATGACCAAAAGTGTCACCCCTAGTTGGAATGCAGGACTTGGGCTAGGGGCTGTCTAGGTCTAGGATTGGGGGTGGAGAGTTTAGGATAAAGGTCGGGGTTTAGTATATCAGAACTAGGTTTGTGGTTCAGGTGTCTACAACTTGGGACAGGGTTGAGATATGCACCTGAGTGGGGTTGGGTCAGAGACGATGTTAGGGTCAATGTTCGGGTCCAGGTACCAGGGTTGGTGTTCGAGATCAGCATCATGATCAAGGTTGGGACACCCAACCTCGACCCTCTTTTTTCTATCTTTTTTTTTGTTTTTTTGTTTTTTTGTTTTTTTGCAAATTTCAATGGTCGTTAAGGTTGAAATTTCTCATGTATTGAGTATGCCTAATTACTCTGCCATATTTGGGCACGAATTTGAGAAGCTTTTTCTCACAAAAATTTTCAACTTACTTTTGTTTGATAAAATGGTGTAACAACATTTTCAAATTTGCATCCATTTGTGCCTAGTACAATGGGGGGACATCCATTGTGGGAGAAAAATTCGAACACCACTTTAAGAGCTTGACATATCTTAATTGTCATATAAGATTGAAGGGAAAGGGATGTATAGTGGATTTTCACATATTCTGTAGTTGTAGGGTGAAAATGTCAAATCTTAATATCTAGGAAACAAACAATATTGTTTGGTGGAGACTTTAAAAACTAGGCCCATTGAAATTTTGACAACTTGGACATAAAGGTAGAATTTTGACACTTTTTATAAGTTTAAGTGGGTGAGACATATTTAAAAGTTTAGGGGTCACTTCACGTTTAAGGATGGCATTATATCCCCTAATCCGGTGGTGATGAGGAATCGTTAATGAGGTTGAGACAGTGGTGTACACAACTTGTCCCAGAGTTGGGATTGGGGCAAGAACCCTGTACCACCTCGATATACTTAAGTTAGAAAGTAATTCCATGTTAATTCATTTTTCAAATGTATTTAGTACTAACCTTAATCCTAATATTGTTCTCTACATATTTTGTTAGATTTTTTGTTTCAAAAGATTACTGATTTTATATTTGATTCAAGATAAGTTTTAATTTTTTAAAATTTTCATGGTGGGAATTAGGACATGCATGGAAAAAGCTCTTCCAACGGGGATTCCCCGACTCCATCTCCGCCCTCTTCTTAGGCAGGGATGGAGATGGTTTTGGGGGCAGGAAGTTATGGAAAAGCATACCCCAACCCTATCCTGCTGCCATTGAAGGGAAATTTGTAAGAACTCGTGCTTTAAACAACCCCATGAAATATAAGCTCAAAATGGGCAGCAGAAAAGAGAACTGATAAGTTAAAATTGGTATCATTAAGCCGAAGAGGCCTTTTCTATAGTATACGGGCCGAGCTCATTGACCAGATAGTCAAATGGCAGTTTTGGAAAGCAAAAGATGTCATATAGCATAACATTGGTTACGTTACTCAAAATACCTTCAGAAAGGTGCTCCAAAAACATTTTGCAATCCACTTAATCGACAGCAAATAGTAGTTTAAGCTATACGGTTATTGTAAAGCCAAAAAACTAGAGGGTAAAAGCTCTTCACGAAGAATAAGCTTTTTGATTCTGAAATAGTATCTTGTTACTAATATGAATGAGACGTATAGAAACGAGGGAAACGAAAAGGCTAAAAGAAATACTATGAACAACAAGAACATATTACGTTAATATCGTATGTTTATCCTGAGTGGAAAAATGTCAATCTTGTAGCTCGAGCAGTAAGAGACGGACATGCGTGATACTTGCACGCTACTGAGGTGCTACGACTTGTTTCGATTACTAGAACCTCCAGATGAAACGGTGTGACTTATAATACGAATTCAGTGATGAACTCGGAAAAGCCCTGCCTAGCTAGACATCATGACTTGCTCAATAGCTTGAAGTGCTTGGTTGGCGAAAAAACGGACATCAACATCCGGGTCCTCGCTGAGCTCAACCAAACATGGACGAATTGTCTTCTCTACCACCTGGATTTAAAAAATCCCCAGTTCAGAAAAAGGAAGCAAAACATAAAAATATGAGAACGAGGAAGCAATACCAGTTATTACAAATAAAAGTATTCAAGTAAATTGTTGACAAACAAGGTGAATAAGAAACCTCAAAAAACCCCGCAAGCAAAAAAAAAAAAAAAAAAAAAAAAAAAAAAGAAGAGAAAAGAAATCAGATACTTACAGATTGATCAACTATTGGGATAAGGGACTGCAGCACCTTTGCCACATTAAACTTGATGTTGGGTACTCTGAAGGGAAACTTCAGTCAAAATCACCACACTAGATCACATCTTTACTAATTAAAGGATATAGACAAAAGAATCGCAGATACCTGTCCTTTGATGCATTGATGACAACTGGAAGTAGTTTTGAACAAGTGATTTCTGAACCCACGACTGGTGCAAGTAAGGCAATTGCACGCAAGACGGTCATACGATACAGATAATGTGGGTTGTTGATCATCTCCAGAACCTGTCCACATGACATATCAATTTCACCTGCTTAGTTTCTAAATAAACAAAAGTTGATTTAACAACTGAACTAGAATTCTAGTAACCATGAAAAACAAAGTAAGCAGAAAGATAATCCTAGACAAAACCGGCGGTACATACAATTTGATTGCCAGCAAAAATGTTAACGTGATTTCAATTTTAAGTGTCACGCTTCAATCCCAAGTTTCATTCCATGCCACACAGAATAAATATATTACTCAAATTACTAGGAGATTAACAATTGCAGAGTCAAAATAATCAATAAACCTGGGGAACAATATTCTGCATTGCCCAGTCTGGACCAAATTCTTCCGCAAGGCGCTTCAAGTTGTTAGCAGCAGCTTCACGGATTGAGTGAACCTACAATAAACACCCGGGGTAGTGAAGGGGAAAAACTCAGAGTAGTCAATTATCTCAATAATTCACATTTTTTCCCCAGGATGCTAAGACGACAGCTTTCTATACTTTGGACGGACGGACTTGCTTAGAGCAATGAGATTTATCACGCAGCAGGAACAAAATTATTTCCAATATGACTTAAAAGTTACAACTAACCAAATCTTGTAACAGAACGTAAATGAAAAAAACTAACGTACACCTAGTTAACATGAAAACTAAGACAATAAAATATCAAGGATGGAACAAATGTACAAGCAGCAAAATTGTGATGAACATTGTGGTGCATAACTCATTATTGATATGCAAACCAGTATTACACAAACCTTATCTTGCAACCACTGCATGCACAAGGCACCAAGTTTGTCATCAAAAAACCCTACACCCAATTGGCTAGCCAGTAATGGTATATACTCTATAATTGCAAGCCGGACCCTCCAATGTCTATCCTCAGCAAGCTCTACAATTGCTGGTAATAAGGATTGAGAAAGCAGATCAATTCCAATAACCTGCACATCCACCAAGCAAAAAAGAAGGGGAGGGTGAATGTTAAGCTTTAAATAACGAGGTTGAGCACCGTGCCAAAAGAATGTTAAGCAAGACTAGAAATAGGATACATATTTTTCACAAGTAGACAGATTAAATACCAGGAACCAAACTCCTGGGCTTCAACATACCTGATTCACTTGATCAAGCTTGCTGATAATGTTCAGGCGCACATCAGGAAATTCATCCTTCAGAAGAGAGAGAAAAATTGGAAGGAGCTGTTCAATTGTCGCATCCTGCAATAACCACAGAATGAGATCTTAAAGCTCAATGCAGGGTAGGAAGATCAATTGCACATTTTGGAACACTTGTCGAAATCAGGAAAGTAGAATCTTTGACCTGGTTATTCAATCAAGCTGGTCAATTAGGGATAGATTAGGAAAGTAGTTTATTTTTCAAAATAAAGAGATTCCTTGAAATAAGGATCTCCTTCAATTAAGGGATTTCTATACCTAATTCGGTGGTATGCTTTCCCTATAAAGTCTTGTAAATATTGTATAGAATTATTAGAGCAATAAACAATTTTTCTGCCCTAGAAACCTACATGGTATCAGAGCCAGGTTATCTTCCTCTCCTTGATGGCTGAAACGGCCGTTACTGAGGAAAGGAGATCCTCGGCTTCGTCTAAGGCAGAGAGCTCTACTTTTGGTGCCATACAGAACCACCATGAATCACGGGGGAGATTCCTCTCACAATTCGTTCCAGTTAACCCCACACAAACTGAATGGGAAGTACCTGGAATGGGCGCAATCTATGAAGTTGGCTATAGACAGTAGGGGAAAGCTTGGCCATTTGACTGGAGATGTGGAAAAACCTAAGGCAGGAGACTCGAAACTGAACGCATGGACGTCTGAAAATTCCTCGGTCATCACTTGGCTGATTAATTCCATGGAGCCGATATCTCTTTCTTCCTACCGTTAAAGATGTTTGGGAGGCAGTTAGGGAGACTTATTCTGATGCTGAGAATTTCTCACAAATATTGAATTAAAATTTAAGTTGTGGAAGTCTAGACAAGGTGAACGTGAGGTTACTGCCTATTATAATGAAATGGTTTCCCTGTGGCAAGAACTAGATCAATGTTACAATGATGAGTGGAATTGTCTAACAGATAGTGTGAGATTTATGAAAAATGAAGAGAATGACCGAGTGTACCTTTTCTTAGTAGGTCTGAATCAGGATTTTGATGAGGTTAGGTCTCAGATTCCTGGAAAAAAAAAAAAACCACTACCTACTCTTCGGGAAGATTTTTCTGAAATTAGGAGAGAGGAGACTAGGAGGAAGGTTAGGCTGAAAATAGATTCAGATGTGAAACCTGCTAGTGCCAACTCTGCTTTTGTTTCCATGAGGAATGATTCTGAGAATGATAGGAAGAAAAAACCCTGGTGTGATTATTGCAAGAAACATTGGCATACACGTGAGACTTGTTGGAAAATCCATGGGAAGCCTCCAAATTGGAAGAAGAAGAATGCTACAGATAACTGTGCTTTCCAAGCGTCCAGTGAAGAACAAGGGCAGCAAAGTACTCCAGAAGCGCTTCCTTTCACAAAGGACAAGCTAGAGCATTTGTACAAACTCCTTCAATCTCCACAACTTCGAGTAAATCCACCAAATCCTTCTAGGTAACCCTGCCTATATTTTTTTCAGTGTAATCCTAGCCAAAACAGCGCCTGGATTATAGAGTCAGGAGCAATTGACCACATAACAGGTTGTTCCCAATTTTTTTCCACCTATACTCCCTGTGTAGGAAATAAAAAAATTAGAATAGCTGATAGCTCTCTCTCGGCAATTGCTGGGACATGAACTGTTGAGATAACCCCTTCTATAATCTTGCATGTTGTCCTCCATGTTCCTAACCTTTCTTGTAAACTTGTGTCTATTAGTAAAATAACTAATACTCTCAATTGTCGTGCTATTTTTGATTCCTCTGTGTGAGTTTCAGGAAATGGTCTCGGGGAGGACGATTGGTAATACTAGGGAAAGTGGAGGACTCTTTTTTCTTGAAGATGGAACCAACTCTGGACAACAAGTTCAGAATACTTGCTTGAACTCTATTTCTGTTTGTAATAATGTTATGCTTCGGCATTATAGACTAGGACATCTAAGTTGTTATTATTTAAAACACTTGCTGCCTGATTTATTTAGAAATAAAAGTTCATCTTCTTTTTAATGTGAAATTTGTGAATTAGCAAAACATCACCACTCTTTTTTTTCCTTCCAGACCATATCTATTTTCAAAACCATTTATGTTAATTCATAGTGATGTTTGGGGACTATCTAGAGTTTCAACAGCGTTTGGAAAAAAGTTGGTTTGTCAGTTTTATTGATGATCATACACGGCTTAGTTGGGTTTATTTATTAAAAGATAAATCTGAGGTGAAGGAGATTTTTCAAGTGTTTTATACAATGGTTGAGACACAATTTCAAGAAAAACTCAAAGTGTTTAGAAGTGATAATGGAAAGAGAATACTCTAATGAAGTCTTAGGGGATTATTTTTAAAAAAAAAGGGGATAGTACACATGTCCGGATACTCTCCAACAAAATGGGATAGCTGAACGGAAAAACAAACATATTTTAGAAGTCACTAGGGCGTTGTTATTGACTAATAATGTTCCTAAGTATCTTTAGGGAGAAGCACTTTTAACTGCAACATACCTTATAAATCGCGTGCCTAAAAAAACCTTGAACTTTATTTTTAGAACACCTATAAGTACTTTTAAAGATGTTTTTCCCACTTCAAAGTTGACATCTGACTTACCTTTGAAAGTATTTAGGTGTAGTGCATTTATTCATATACATGACCAGAACTGTGGGAAGTTAGATCCCCGAGCTAGGAAGTGTGTATTTGTAGGCTATGCTCCAACTCAAAAGGGGTACAAGTGTTACGAACCCAGTTCAAAAAAAGTGAAAAAATGTTAAATTAGATGTCACTTTTTTTTAGAATCAACCGTTTTTTGGTACTCATCTTCAGGGGGAGAGCATAAGTGAAGATTTTTCTGATTTTTTTGACACCTTTGATATTGTTCAACCTGTAACAAAAGGTCCTAGTTTCTTCATAAATACGGAACTGAGTGATTTAACTAATGAAGATTTGAATTCTAGAACTACAGAGCCATCTCATGATATTGGTAGACATGGAAATGGAGAATAAACAGGTACAAAAGAACTACTTGTTTACTCAAGAAGGAAACAGAATCAAGGAAATGAGACTGAAACCTCCCAACACTGTCAAGAGTCTACACCTCAGGCCATTCAGAACTCCATCGATGTTCCAGGTAATTCTCACATAGTTCCCACTCACATAAGTTTACCTAATCCTAAGCCTATTCAGTCCGAACCTAACATATATGAGCTTGATCTTCCAATTGCTCAACATAAAGGTGTTAGAAGTTGTGTAAAGTATCCCATGTCCAATTTTGTTACCTATAAAAATTTGTCACCAGTGTTTTCCGCGTTTATCTCACAATTTTCTAGTGTGGAGATTCCAAAGAATGTGCATGATGCTCTAAAGGTTCCTAAATGGAAGGCAGCTATCCTTGAGGAAATGAGGGCTCTTGAAAAAAATGGGACATGGGAATTGCCTAAGGAAAAGAAGGCAGTTGGCTACAAATGGGTGTTCACAACCAAATAAAGATCAAATGGATCCTTAGAAGATACAAGGCACGCCTAGTAGCTAAAGGGTTCACTCAAACGTATGGTATTGATTATCTTGAGACTTTTGCACATGTGGCAAAACTGAATACTATTAGAGTGCTCTTAACAGTTGTAGCTTATCTAAACTGGCCACCTCAACAACTAGACATGAAGAATGCATTTCTCAATGGTGACTTAGAAGAAGAAGTTTACATGGATCCACCTCCAAGCTTTGAGGAAAAATATGGATCAAAGGTATGTAAACTAAAAAAATCCTTATACGGCTTGAAACAATCACCACGAGCTTGGTTCAGAGGTTCACTCAGTTTGTGAAGAAGCAATTATATGCTCAGGGACAGGCAGACCACACCATGTTCACAAGGCATTCAACTGATGGGAAGATAGCTGTTCTTAGAGTGTATGTTGATGATATCATTCTCACTGGGGATGACACAATTGAAATGGAGCGGTTAAAGCAGTGTCTAGCATCCGAGCTCAAAATCAAAGACTTGAGTTCACTAAAGTACTTTCTTAGTATGGAGATAGCTCAATCAAGAAAAGGAATTGCAGTGTCGCAAAGGAAATATGTGATGGATTTGCTTAAAGAAACTGGAATGAGTGGATGTCGTCCTGCCGAAACGCCAATTAATCCAAATCATAAGTTTGGAAACAAAGAAGGGAATCCAGTAGACACAGCCCGATATCAGAAGCTAGTTGGAAAACTAATTTACTTGTCACATACACGACCATACGTGGCATTTGTCGTGAGCTTAGTAAGTCAATTCATGCATTCTCTTCATGAAGAACATTCTTCAGTCTACCGCATTCTTAGATACTTGAAGAACTCTTCAGGAAAGGTTTATTTTTTGGCAAGAGTGAACAGCGAGTACTGAAGCATACACAGATGCAGACTGGGCAGGATCAATTTCAAATAGGAGGTCCACATCAAGCTATTGTACGTTTGTATGGGGAAACTTAGTAACTTGGAGAAGTAAAAAACAAAATGTAGTGGCCCGTAGTAGTGCTGAAGTAGAGTATAGATCGATGGCACATGGAATTTGTGAAATGTTATGGCTCAAATGAATCTTGAACGAACTAAGAAGACTTGTGACCATGCCTATTAAGTTGTACTGCGATAACAAGGCAGCCATTAGCATTGCCCACAACCCAGTCTAACATGACAGCACAAAACATGTTGAGATTGACAGGCATTTCATAAAAGAGAATATTGAAGCTGGAGCTATTTGTATGCCATTTGTCCTAACATCACAACAAGTGGCCGATATTCTTACCAAGAGATTATTCAGACCTAGCTTTGAGGCAGTGTTTTAAAAAGCGCCTGAGGCGCACGCCTTGAGGCGCGCCTCGTGGCGAGGCGTTGGAAAAGCGCCTCAACTCCTACGCCTCAGCCACTTGAGGCGCACGCCTTTGAGCGGCACCTCATGTAGTTAGTGAGGCGTACGCCCTGCTTGTATAGGGTTGTCAATGGGTTTTTTAACCCTAACTGAATTAGGCCCGCCGGCCCTAAAAGCCCAAATAACAGAGACTGTGAAAACATAACCTCTCCCTCTGCGAAATCTTCTCATTCTTTCGCACCTCTTTCGC